GGGTCTTGAGTAAGCTTTAGGCTGCGGCAAACATTTTTCATTTTAGATGCTTGAATATTCCCTGTTTGTAAGCAGAACTAGACTTTATACTGTTGTGCAAAATAATCACTTCAATTATAGTTTTGCTGAATCAAGCCTGTCATTGTGTGCATTGATAGGTAGACTTGCATTTCAAAATATCTGCCATTGCTATGCAACACACAGCCTTGTACTCAAAACAAAGCTAAGCTAAGGTACACAAGCCCATGCTTTCTGAGCTGGTTGTGACATAAGAGATGTCAAATGCAAGCTGTTTAGCAAGATTGTTTACCGAGTCCTTGTCATAGGCAGGAAGGTCGAGTGGCTTTTGGGTTTATTCTTTGTGTCTGTTTTTATTTCCCTCCCATACAAGTTCAAGAGGATTATACAGGATGGATTTTGATTGCTAAGACTTTTTGACTTTGCTATACTCAGAATGTGAGGATATTTTAGGCCATAACAATACCCTTTTACTCATGCAGGCATTCTTTTGAAAACAACATTTTTTTATGCTGCTGTTGTTCTGCTGCTGTTTGCATTTGCTAAATTCTGGTCGTGTGTTGTTGTTGAAAATGTCCATCTTAGCGGGAGAAATGCTCCACAATTTCTTATTCATGTTCATAGCCCAATAGAGGCGCTGGCTTGCCAATTGGGAGACATTTGCGTCCTTACCATGGCAACCTTTGAAACTGGCCCCCTTAGCTCCACGTCATCCCCTCTCTCTCTCTCTCCCTGTTTCCTGTCTGTCTTCAGCATGTAGTAATAAATGGGAAAAAGCCTACCCCTCAAAATATGTATAAAACTACCGTCTGAGGCATTGCTGCCCCAACCTAACATTCATGCAAACGACAACAAGCATCAGCTTCTATCCAAATGTATCTTAATATCTAGTAAACGTCACTTTTGAGATGGATATATCACAAACCAAAAAGTAAGACTCCAAAATAGACTTAAACCCATTTTCCCTGATGCTTAAGAAATTACCTCAAAATTCAACCACAACCATATACTTGATCATTCATATTGGCTGTATGTTAGGAAATGAAAGGAGTCTCCTAAATGGCGCAGATTATGTGGGCTGCAGTTTCAGGGGCAGCGTGGTTTAGGGTTGTAGCTATTTATAGCCATGCACATGTGCTCTGCTGAGGTCTACAAATAAGTGTCTCAGGAGCGCTTTGCTGCCTGTCTATTCCAATGCTGTGGTGGACTTTAAGCTAGCACCGGGTCCAGACAGTAGGCAGGGTTCACACAGGCAACAACATATTTACTTTTATACAAAACTAGCTGTTTGTCATGATTTCCATTGTTTGCTTCATTGTTACAAGATGTTCATACTACCCAAATAATTGTATTCAATTAAATAAAATAAAAATCTTTACTTTTGGTTTAACTTCATATTAAAGTGTTACGTTTCACATCTTAAGGAAGCTTTAATGACAACGTTAATTTAATTCACACATGTTTTAAATGTCAATGAGTTCAAATGTAATATGAGAGACAGGTGGCTATTCAGGCTCTTGTGATCCTTCAAACATCGACCCATTTGAATCGAAGGTCATAAGCTGTTTGTTAACACATTTCAAAACTCTACCCAAACCTGTGGTGGACATGAATCTGAATTTAAAGTAAGAATATTATTAACACATCATAAGAACATTTGTGTTTTTATTATTTAATACCTTAAGCATTATCATGAAGGGTTGTCAGTTGAATCACATTGCTCTAGTTCTTGTCATTTGTCGCATATTGGACGCTTTTCACCATATAAGCATATCATACATAAACTGTCATCAACTGTAAGATGATGTTTCCATGTTATTATTAGAAATCATGCCGAAGCCAAAAAGGTTGTTCACTCAGTCAGTGTTTAATTTACACCTCGGCAGTTGCTGTTTAGTGATATCTTTGCTTCAGGCTTGTGCGGAAACTTTCTGGATACATTAAACCTTATAAATAACTTTTCAAATCAAACCTGAAATATTTGAAATTGGAACTTAAGTTTCATACTTGTGTGAAGTGACACTGATCTTTTTTTTAAAATTCACATCTTCTTGAATTTGCGGTTCTTTTTTGGTCAACAGAATTGTCAGAGTTACTTTCGCTGGGATGTTGTTTATTGTACCTGCTGAATATTTTAACTGAGTACAAAACTCAGTGTAGTGCAGGTGTGAAAAATACTGTGGCAAGTTTACATGGCTAAAAACAATCTGGTATGTGAAATAAGATAAAATGGGAAAAGTCAAAATACTATACTCTAATCACAAAATGTATTTGATCAGATAAGTTGAATTGAGAATAATTAGGTTCAGAGTTGAACAACATCTAATGAGTATGATGATTTATTTTCCTCATCTTTCCAACAGCTTTTATATTATAATGTAGTCTTTTGTTTTTAAGTTTGAGGTATTTTAGAGAAATATCAAACCAGAGTTCAAGTTCATTTTTTTATTTTCATATGATCCTCAAGAGGGCACCATACTTTTAAACACCCTCATGTTTTGAAGGGAAAGCACAGTTACAAAAATAGTCTCATCATATATTTAAACCTGCTCCCTAGTTCTCGGACCGTTAGGTGGACCGTTATATGTGCAGTAACCGGTGGTGACCATGTCTGCTACCGGGTGGATGATGCACTCTTTCAGCTGGACAGTTTCCTGGAAATCTCAGCCAATCTATATTAATGAGTTTCTCAGGAGAGGTTTATACATTATGCAGCAAAGACCTTATACTGTATATGGACTTTAAAAACCAAATGAATGTCCCACTGCTGGCAGCACTGCTTTAGTCCTCTGTAAATCAGCTGTTGAGTCACAGGGACAGACACATCAGCAATGACACAGCAGCACTGAGAGACTACTTTTAATGTATCTGCTTATCCCTTTTAATAAATGTTGTTTTTGTTGGACTCTGATGTGATCGGCTGATGTCTTTGTTTTATTTGATGTTTGGCTTCATGTGACGCCATGATCTAAATGTGTAACAAATAATTGACAGACCAACCCACTTACCGATTCTCAGCAGCTTTTAGACATGCACTATTTTTAGATGAACTAAATGTAAGAATCTACAGAGGGTACAGTCACAGGGCTCCTAAGCTACCTCTGTTATAATGTCAATGCCTTTGTTAAGCTTTATGATAATTCAAAAGCCTACAGTATGTGGTTGTTATGCTTTTTTATGACAGAGGGGCACACCTGCATGAGGATATTTGTGGTGTTTGAGATGTCCACAGTCCTGCATCTAAGGATGGGAGCCATTTCATTTTTTGTAACTAGTATGATAATAAAAGAAGGAATCTAACTTAAAACTCTTTACTTCCATGGAGAGATTGCTTTTACCTATTGGTACTTTTCCTGTTGTATCAAGAAGGGTGTTGATGTGTGTGCTCAGTTGTTTCTGCTGATGCAAACCTTGTGGTAAGTCCTGCTGCACAAAACAGAGATGATTATCTTTAGTTTGACATGTTTATATTGCTCAATATATTTTAGTAAGATAACCACATTAATCAAGTGATGCATGCATGCTGTCATCAGAAATGATAGTACATGCCTCTTAAACTGCAGCTTGAATACGCTGTCTGAATCCTGCCGTTGGAACCATGTTTGCAAGGAACTTTTCTTCTTTTTCCTTTTTTGAATAATAAGCGCTGATTTCTGCCTGTGGTTTCGAGTGCTGCCGCTAGATAAACACTTATCCACGTGGAAACTGAAAATAGTGAGTAGCCATGGAAAACCTGACAGAACTTGTTCTCGACGCTTGGTGAGAAAGGGAGTCACGGCTGCCCTAGAGGCTGTTAGGCAGGCAGGCAAGAAGAGGGAGACAATTACGCTTTCCTCAGTCGCTTATCCACATGGCATCGGCGTGCCCGATTCAAGATCCTCTCGACAGCCCGCAGGAGCAAGAACAGGGGATGAAGTACCTGTTTTACGTCGAGAGGGAGCATAGAGCTCACCTGGTAACGCTAATGTGCTGCATGGGTCAGTATTTATCTTACTGCTTCTTCCTGTCATTTCCTTGTGAGGTTAGTCATGTCTGTGCTTGCTCATTAAGATTTCCTGGAGCAAAACCTCTTTTGTAACCAAGGGTTATTAAAGGGAGGAGGTTATCTTTGTTGTCAGTCCTGTGGTCAAAGCTCAGGGACATACTGACCTTCCACAGCACTGTTGACATCAGCAGTGGGGGAAATGTGAACTAGCTGGCAGACCATTGTTAATGTTATTGATTACACATGGTTGTTTCTTTTGATGTTTACTGAGGAGGATGTTTTGTCAGGCGGACTGGGAGACGTGGAAGCAGTGGCATGAGTCACAACTGTGGTGACTGGCTTGAATCCTGCTCTGCTGCTCTGACACTGGATTGAGGCCAAGAGAGAAAACAGCAACGAGAAACACGAGTTGTTCATAATGTTGAAGAGAAAACTTGATACTTTTTCTTTATTCTACTACTATTACTAAAACAAGTATTGAGTTGGGAAGATGAATACAACCAGTTTACTTTGATTTTCTGCATCCACTGGTTACACATTATTTCTCTGGCTACAGGAAGTCTGGTTGCCATGGTAATGGGAAACAAAAAAATACTGTGGTCATTGAGAGCATGCAGGAGAGAGTGATGTCATTTCAGCCTATGGGAAATGACATCCTTCTTTTTATGGACTAGTGGTTTCACTTGTTACTTTTTTACATCACTTTCACTGGAAGCATTTTAGCCAAAATAACACATTGTCTGTCCATTAGGAAGCAAAAGTGAACAGCTTTATTCTACAAAATTCAAGTGATGGAATTTTCAACCCATCAGAAAAGAATTTCTGTTTCTCTATTTTTCTCCGTTCTCGGTGACCACTAAACATAAAAGGTTATATAGCAGGCGTGTACAGAGCCACATTAGGCTTGTCTAACAGGATGTATGTTGCCTACCTCCGGGGTGATTGCTTTACAATGTTAAAAAACTCACAAGGTTTTGTCTTTTTCTCTCTTCCTCAGATGAAAGAGACAGAGTGCAGAAAAAGACATTTACCAAATGGATAAACCAGCATCTCCTGAAGGTAAGAACTAAAGTGTGATAGTTGCATCTTTTCTGTTACCGTGTCAAATTTAGAATCTTTTTACATGAACACTGATTTCATTCATGCTCCTATGGAAGCTATTTATCAAACCAAAGGGTGAAACCTAGATAATAGTTAACATTACAAAATGTTTCACCCTGACAATCAGCAAACCATTTCCCACTAACATAAACAATCCATTAGAGAAGAATTGGCAGTAATAATAATTACTGACTTTTGTGTTGGGTCCCAACATGCTAACATTCCTCCTCAGATGTTATTAAAGCTGCTTTTAAAGTCATTTAACATGACAAGTGCCGTAGCTCTGCTGCAGAAACAGGTTATCAGGAATTTAATAAACACTTTATCAGACAGACAAGCACTGGCAAGTTTAATCCAAGACGCCTTTATAAAAATGAATCACTACCCAGGAGTCATGTATAATGTTATACTTTATGCAACAGTGGTGCATTAATCACTGCTTCTGTTACTAAAAACCACAATCATTTCTGTTTTATAAGGCATGAACATGCAGGTAAGTGATATATACAGGGTACTTACAGTCATTAAAAACCTGGAAAAGTCATGGAAATTTAAAATGCAAATTCCAGGCCCTGGAAAAGTTATGGAAAACAATCTTTTCCCAAAGTTTTGGAAAATTCATTGAAATGTAACTAAAGTTGCATCAAATATAATTTATATTTTAGCTAATCGCCAAAATAGTAATACTATAATGATAATAAATACTGTATCGTATAGTAATGAAACATAAAATGGCATTTAACTAGCGAGGTATTTTGCTGGTGAGAGATTTGAGTTGCTTTAGCGTGTAGAAGCTAGTAAGCCTACTATTTGATTTGTTTTAGATAGGCACAACATGTTTCAGACCTTATTTTCCTGTTCCATGTTAAAATAAACCATTTTCAGTGGTACCGCTGAGGAAGAGTAATGTTTTTGGTCATGGAAAATTAGGTAAAGGTCATGGAAAACTCATGGAAAAGTCATTGAAAATCATTGGTGAAAAAGTGTATGAACCCTGTATATACTTTAGGGGGATTTCAATAATTCATTCATGCATTCTTTGATTTATAAAAATGAATGAATGAATGATAAAAGTGAATAGAAGACATGACAGTGCATCGCTTCATGTATAGGATTCCATGAGTCCTGTAAATTGGATATCTTCCAGGGAAACAGTTTATTTTTTTCTTTTCAAAAATGTATTAATCCAGTGACAAAAATGTGAAACAACGGTAGTTTAGTTTGTGCAGAAGATGAGTAAGCAGTAGACTTTTCTGGAAAGTGCGGCATTGCAATGTGACAGTAGATTTAGCTGGAAAACATCAGCAGGTCTGGCCAGGATGGCCTTAATAACTTTGCTGATATGTTGACTGTTTTACACATTCCCAACAGATTCATCTAAGCTGTAGTTTGTGTTTAGCTCTGTTTAGCCATGTTAGCATGCTAGCCTGCTAAGCTAAGTTGTGGAACATGCTTATTTTTACAACTGCTAAACATCAGCATATACAGGGTGAGACAAAACCTCTGGTCTAGTCCATTAACTGGGAACACAGCTGTAGAGCCTTATTTGAAATGTAAATAGGGCCATGCTGTTAACATACTTGTACTATTACATTATTTATTGTTTTGCTCCTGAGGGGATTTTTGTGTTCTTTGATCACCATCTTCAAAGTGTGCTGTTGGTCATAAACCTGTCCTTGAGGGTCAGTCTAAGAGTCAATCCTTACTTAATGGGAGTGGGGCTTCCTGTGGATCAGTGCTGATGACATGTTTTATGATCTTTGGCACTGAGTTTTGTCAAAGAGGAGTGCATTTATTATCTCCAATCAAAAAATCATTATAAGGAAGCTTGCAGATCTGCCGTAAGGACATACCTGCTACAGCTCACACTGTTTTGATAAGGCACATTATGTAATATTTGTCACGTTACGAAGAAATAAGGAAATCATATTTTATGTCTTTAGTACTGCAATAAAAGATGACACATGCATTAAAGTGCAAAGAAAAACAGCTTATAAAAAACAATGTGTGCTATACTCTTGTTGTTGAACTTGTCAAACATACTTGTTTCGTTTTCTCTTTATTTCATGACTCAGGGATAGATGTTCAGACTTCTTTAGCTTATTCTTTAAATCTCTTTCATTCTTTGAGAAATCAGAGGTGCTGAGTAACAGTTGGGCATCTGCTTTGTTGACCCAATAACATTAGGGTGTAAGTCTATTTTGGTTCCACAGCTATGGTCGCTATCTGGGATTACAGTGTTGAAAGCCCTGTGTGAAAGCAGGTCAACGGGCAGCGGGTAGTGGGGTGATTTCAGAGGCGCGGTATTTAGGACAGGAAGGAGAGATGGGACGGCTCGAAGGAGAAAGCCTGGGACTTGAGTGGTTAGGTGTCCCGCTCAAGTGCTTAGATAAGGCTTCACGGTGATATCCTGTGTGTTTTATGCTTCACTCATTTCCATTTAGAGGGAACTCTGAGGAAATAAAAACTAAATTAAGTTTGTTGTTAAATGGGTAAACTGTTTTCTTCTGAACTTAAGCTGACACCAAGTTGAAGGACATAAGAAGAAACACAACAAAGGCAATGGTTTAGTTATATCAACCTAAAGTGTAATAATGTGCAAGAATCTTTCCCTAATATAATCCTCCAATGGTTCAATAACTGAAGTTAGACATATCCAAAAAAACTGTATAGCTATATTTGTTAATATAACCAGTCATCAATGAACAGCTGTGTTAGTAATAATTTGATATATGATTTGTGCTCACATGTTGCATTCTCCCTCATGTCTATAGGTACGAAAGCATATAAATGACCTCTATGAAGACTTACGAGATGGACATAACCTGATCTCGCTCCTGGAGGTTTTGTCTGGAGACACGTTGGTGAGTTAATATTTCCCTGTTGTTTTTATTTACACGGCTGGATTACGGATGATGTTTGATTATCCTATTTAGTTCTTAGAGGAATTTTCATTATGGCCAGTCTTAGGAATCACAACACTTTCAAACTGTCATTAGACACCATCATTTATCGTGCTCCTGTAGAGCAACTTATCACACCTTTGCATGACTGAGGCACTTGACCTTCCTCTGTCTTACTTACATAACTGATGGTAGGAAGGAAATCCTGGGATTTGATGGTCTGTAATCAGATATGCTGTGCTGCGTCCACCCAAACCCACGGAAATCCTTTCTGGGATATCTGTGAAACTGACTGATGTAATCATGTTATGTTGTGCTACTAGATGGAAGTAATATAAATACTGTAAAGGATGTTTTTTCTTGGAAGCACTAAAAGATAAGGTGCTTTGTGTCACAGTAGTGGTGGTCAAGGAGCGACATACTTGTGGGGATATTAAATACGTAGATTACAAAAGAATGGTTGTTGTTTTTCAGTCGGCAAAATAAAAGCAAGAAAAAGCTTGTGAAAAGGAAAAGTAGCTCTCTTGTTGCCCACTTGAGGTTCGCGCGAGTTTTTGGCCACTGATAATCAGTCATTAACAAAGTTTAACTTGCTAACTAGCCTATTTAACGCACTAACTGCTTAAGGCCACCTTTGATTTTACTTGGATCCCAATACCCTAAACAGGAGCTAACCATAACATTTAAGCAATATATAAACTATGATATAATACTTCAAAAGCTGCAGTAAAATCAAAAAGCACAGCCCCAAATAATTCCTTGTCATCCTTATTAGAGTTATTAGTAAACTCCTAGCAATGATGCAAGGAATGTAGAACGTAGAAACAGCAAAGACTTATCAGTTTGTAGAAGACATAATGATTGCCACAGACCTTCCTTTCTCTATTAAATAAATCTATTTAAATACCACAATTACAGGAGCAGTTATTCAAACTTTTGTATTTAGAATTCATGCATATCTTTTCTGATATTGTCTGTGTCCTGAAGTCTTTGAAATGTGACCATCAGGAGACATACATACATTGCTGGTTCATATATAAGTTCTTGTCACATCTTATTGAGAATGCTCTATTTGACGCATAGAGAACACATACATTACCGCCTCTGACGCAGACCAAACATGAAGATATGGATTGTTTCTATAAACGTGTATCGTTATATCACAATCATGAGCAGTGTTTATTTTGAGTGCAGGAAGCTGGGCTGTCATGGAGATTAAAATAGGGCTAGATTGATTGCTGTTACCTAGCTTTGTAAAAATGACTTGGAATAAAAAAGATAGATGGTGATTGTTTTCCACAAGGTTTCATTCCATGTTTTATACAAGCAAAATGTAGAAATAAGTTTATTAGAAATTGTTCTCATCCACATAGAATTATCTTATTTTATTTTTAGAAATGTAGAGCAAAAACAGAAATTCATCACATGTTATTTTAAACAAAACTGTAAACTATGATATTAAGTCTCTGCTTCTTGGTCTTGTTATTGCATTATTGGGGCTTTTTAACTTGGTTCAGGATAAATCCTAAATTCTCTATATTTAAGTATGTATAAGAGTCCCTTACATAGAGTTTAGAGTACACAGCTGCAAACTGCATGTAGCTTTAGTATTTTTTACACCCAGCAGCTATTTGTATTATTTCATTTTTATGTTAACATGTCATTGTTTCATCTTTTACTAAAGTATGTTTATAGTCTTTGTGCAGTCCTTAGCTCCATGATGTTATCAAGCTGTGATGTCCCTTACTGTATTTATATTGCATGTATTCCTGTGGAAAAAGCCCCAGCAGTTACTCCCTTCCTCAGTGTGACTAACTTTCATCCTCTATAAGCTATCTTTTTTCTGTTTACATCCTGTTTCCCTTCTACTTTCCCTCTCTTCTGTTCTCCACTCTCTCATTGGTTTTCTGTCTTAACTTCCTTTTGATTTGGCCGCTTTGTGTGTCCATGTCTTCCTTTCTTCCCCCATCTGTTGCCTTTTCGGTGATAAGCCAAGGGAGCGTGATTTTCTGAAGACTTTGCGGTTGGTGAGTGGGACAGAAGCATGTGCGGTTGAGCAGCATGGAGACACGGTGGATGGTGATGATGATAAGGGGGTACGTGTGGCTTGTCCCTCAAACCCCCTTTTTAACCAACTAATTGAGTGTTGCTGTGTGGCCAGTTAACAGGACCGAAGAAACAATCCCACTGAATGAATTGTCTTTATGTAGTTCTTCTATATGCTTAGAGAGTAGTGTTTCCCTTCTCACAATCACATTACATTATGCCTTCTTTTCTGATGATGAAATAATGTCTGAATCCTTGTTTACATGACCAGATGAAACTGATGATGCAGGGAAATGTGCACATGATCTAAAGGCCCAGGCCTGTTCAGGCTCAAATGGTCTTTTTGAGCATGCATCAACAACACAATTGGCAAGCTGACTTTGCAAAAGCATGAAGAAGATGCGATAAAGGAAATTGCCTTTTAAAGCCTGGGTCTTTATATCAATGTCGCTAGCTTTGCCCATCTTTGAGCTATACAATCAGAGCGCTGTAAACCGTCAGGACATTTTTCATCTGCTGCTTTTAGGTACTTCAAAGCCATAAGAGCTCTTTGTAAGTGTATGAGTTCTACGGAATGACGGCTTTGGGAAATAGGTTTATTAAATATTGTTGCTTTGCTATTTAGATGAGCCGAGTTCTTCTCTCAGCCATTATCATCTTAGAAATATGGCTGAATGCAGCAAACGTCTTTTGCTGCTGCTGCATCCTGGCTTCAACGCATTTTCCATTTCATTACATCATGCTGTGGTCCCTCACTGTCCATTTGCCAAAAGACATTGGATATTTGCTCGAACAATGCAGCACTATTATATTTAGAATAGTTATTGCACAGCACACCAGATGTATTTATGTGTGTCATGTACACTTAAGCTGTTTGGGTGTGTTAACCAGCAGGATGACTTGGTTTGTTATTGCACATTAAGAGCACTTTTCTAGAGATGCAAATGGTGGAAAATGTTCTGTATATGCTCAGATTTTGAGTGAGCCTGCAGAAATGGCTACTCTTGTTGCAGGTAGAGTTTTGTAGTGCCTCACCAGAGCAGCGGGTAAGACACTGGAAGCATGTCCTGTGTTCACCATGATGTTACTAATCACTTATTTAATTTGTCCTCTGATTTTTGAGAAGAACCTGATCATCATGGCTCTTCTTCCCTCTTTATGTCCACAGCCTCGGGAGAGAGGGAGGATGCGCTTCCACAGACTCCAGAATGTACAAATAGCACTGGATTATTTAAAGAGACGGCAGGTAAGGATCAAACCAAGTAAACTCTCAACTCTTGATCTCTCATCACTTTTCATTTGAAAACATTTACATGACCTGTGCAAATTATAGGCTGTTGTTAGAAAGCCACACAATTATCTTATGGACAACATTTATGTCTCCTTCCAATATATCGTGACCAGGTTGCTGAGTAATTATTTGCTTTGAATCGTATAACTATTACAGTGTGAATCTAATAATGGACGAGAGGATGATGATTTTTGGAAAGACACATTACTGTTAAATTATTTCGTGTTTTTGTTTTGGGCTTTGAGCAACACAAGCAAGCATCATGTAGTTCCATCGGATATTTCCAACACTTCACAGCTCAGATCATATCAATATTTATTGACGAAAAGCACTACAGGTTTGAGGTGAGCTATATACAGGGGTGCACATAAGTGGTACGCAGGTACGCATGCGCGGCAACAATCTGAAATGCGTACCGTCACTTGTGTCACAAAGCGCATTTGCGTACCGATGTATATGTGAAGCTTTTCCATAAGGCTGTTAGATCACCGGACGACGGAGTCGGTCTCCGTGTGCAAAGACAGGGCTGCTGTTAACGTCGGCCTGTACAGCAGCACTGCGCTAAAACAGCTGATCACAACGTTCACACGCTCTGTGGTCACGAAGCTCTGCACTCTACTACTACCCCCCCCGTTGACATTCGCGATACAGAGGGCTTCATCATACTCCACTAGCACCCCCACCCGCTGATATTCGCGATACAGAGGGCTTCATGGGAACTTTGAGGGGAGCCGGAAGTTGGAGTACCAAACACTGACTCCAGGTACTCATCTGAGTACCTCACTGAGAAAGTTGTGTGCACCCCTGGCTATATATATATATTGTATTTATTTTGCGATGAACTGTCCCTTTTTAAGATACTGGAAGCATGCATTCGGAATCTCTTCCATCATACGCCATAGCTAAAAACAAATTCATGTTTCTACCTTCCTGTCCCTTCATGGATTAAGAGCAGTTTCCAACCAATGTCTACATAAAAAAATGAGGACATTTGATACAGGAAGTGAATGATCTAAAAGGTTGCAGCTGAATAGCCCACATAATCGTATCACTTATTGTGGCAGCTACAGTGTACCTTGGGAGTTGCATCATATTACTAGAAATCTGTTCACTTGTAACCACTGAGGCAGGGAATTGCAAGCAAAGCAACACATGTAATTGAGCTGGGACACAGTATGTGTACAAATCTGGGCTCATACAAAAATGCCCTATTGTGTAGGACATCCCCATTCAGGAGTTATTATCCAAAGAAGCCCATTGTCCTACATCACACACTGATTGACTCGTGGCATTTTCAGTCTTTTCTTGATAAAAATTGAAAATCAGTTCCCAGATATAGTTATGGCAGCATTCAAGGAGCACTGACTACAAATCCCATCAGTGGGGTTTTTAGCAGCTTTGATTGCCCTCCCCTCCCCCAACCTCTCAGGATGTGATGAAGAACACACAGGCTGGCTGAGCGGTAGCCAGATGTGACGTAAGGCCTGAGACAAAGGAATCATAGATGGTCACAAATGACTTGTTCTATTGTTTTAGGGACAACACATATCAGACACTTCAATGCATCATCTGCTGTCATTAAATGTTAAACACTCTCACTGTGCAAACTCCCTAAAATCTCCCCCTGCGGCCAATTGATTACAACATTATTGCTGATAATCAGGCTGGAACTGGAGGAATAAATTAACTGCTCACTTAAAACAAGAATGTGATTAGACTCTGCTTTCTGGACCATGTTTTATTTATTGAAATTATTAAGATTATTTTGTACTTCTATACGTGGAAGATAAACGTCCTAGCAGATTTATAACATTTCATTATTAGCAATCATTCATTCTCTCTGTCACCTCATACCCACACGATGACAGTAACAGTGTTTCCCTGACATAATATAATGACTATTGTGCCACCTTGTGGTGCTTGTTAAATGACAGGCAAAATAGAAAACAGAGCTACACTGAAATATTTTACTTGGTACCAAATACATTTACATGTAAAAACTTGGAGACATTGTTTATTCAGAATATACTAATCATGTGTTTCCTATCATTAGGTCAAACTTGTAAATATCAGGAATGATGACATCACAGATGGCAACCCGAAACTGACCCTGGGATTGATCTGGACCATAATTCTGCACTTTCAGGTCAGTGTTGTCATTTCATGTTGTGGTAATTATTATTATTATAATTATTTTATCGGCCCAGTAATTCATATTCATCACTCAGATACTGGATATTACTTCCTTATATGTAAGTGATACATTAATAAGGTATATTAATTTATAATTTTCTGTATCTTTACAAATGTATCCATAACCTTTATTTTTCCAAAGGGTTACCTTGGTCTGTGTAGAGATTAATGATCAGTGCAACAGAAACTCCGGCTTGCTGTGGGATTGAGTTACATAATAGCGTGACAAATGCACACCAGATTTATGCTTCAAAGATGATTCTACTTTTGACCACAAGGTGTCAAAACTGTGCCGCTCGCATCATTTTGACTGTTGTAATCGCTGTGTTACTCATGGAAGATTATAGTGTAATATATGATGTGAGTGTTAACCTGGATTACTATAATGCATGTTTGATTCATCCTCTGTGGCAACTTGACAAGTTAACTTCGCATAGGTCCTGTTGGAAGAAAGGTTTTTGGTATGGTATTCACACGATGTATTGAGAGATGGTAAATTACCCTGCACTGATTTTTCAACAAATCTGTGTTTGCGTACAATGGTAAAAGGCTTGAACATAGCTTTATTTTGTAAATTATGTTCAATTTAAACAAAAGAAAAGGGTTTTACTGTGAGTAATCAGTTAATGTTCAAAATGTGCTTGGTCTAATGTTTTTTTAAAACTTTGTGCACAGTCAGTGCAACCAAGGTATGCAGTTTTAAAATGTTGTGTGCCCCAGGCTGAGCTTTATGTTTCTCCCTGACCCTGAATGTTTTTTTTAAATGTTCTCTCTGGGAATATTTTCGTTTTATTGCTGCAGTGGAGTGAGTTAGTAAGTGTGCATGCCATGAGTATCCAGGTGTCTATATCAAATCCAATAACTTACAGAAACGCCATGAATACTTCTCACTCATGCTCTCTACCCTTCTCTTTTTATCTCTGACTGTTTTGCATTGGATTATTAATATATTTGGCTCAAGCTACATGACTCAGTGGTTGCTTAAGGGACAGTATTATTGAAATAGTCTTTAACACTTACAGCTTTTATTGAGATACTACTGAGACAGATGCATTCTTGTATTAATGGATTAACGCCTTCAATCAAAAATTAATGGAGGTAAAGCAGTTAATATGATTTGGCCTGGACTCACTGACAGGTAGCGTCGGTGAAGATGCCAACACCTGCTGTCCGTCTCACGCAAGCCCTTGAGCAGTGATGGGCCTGTTTCTTCTTGATTTTGTAGGGCAGAAAAAAACGTTTCAGTCACATTATCCACCCTCGGCTTTATTATATAAGCAAGTATGAACTGTTTTTCAAACGTCAAGCTTTCAAGGGACATACTTAAGGCTTTTCTTTTTGCTGCAGGCTGTTTTTTTATATTGACTTCTGTAAACTGGGAGCACGGACAGGGTGTGTCTTTATCTAATAGCTAGTGTTAAGGTGTTTTATAAACTATCCTTTGTTTGATAATGTTTGTACAGATAATGAAATCTCATCACAAAGCTGCCGCTAGTCCCCACCCTGGTGACCATGCTGTATTTTCACCTGAGACGTGGTGCTGTTTATTTTAGTATAGCCTGGTGACAGTGTGCCACCACAACAATGCACTGTTGTCAGGAATTTATGAGCTTGTTTGTTTGTTTTTCGCCCTGATTCACTTTCACTATCTTCGTGACGTCTACTGCTCCGGTCATGACTCATGTATTTGAACAATTCACAGATTAATAAATAAGTTTAACCTATTAAATATAAGAAATAATAAATGATATAAACCATTTAAAATATATGTACACACACGTAACCTGATGCTGCACCTATACCAGTATGTAATAGTTTGACTTTAGGTGGCCATAGGTAGCACTGTGAGTAATCATTATGTGTACCGGTAGTTTGAACTGTGATAGCTGTCAGGTGACTTTGCCCTTCAGGGAAACGTCATTGTTTAAATATTGCAAGCTGACAGCGGTTTTGTGTTCATTTTTAGTCGAGCAGTGCTGGTGACATATATTTACTCTTTTATACAGTACTTTATTTTTGTCTTGTATTAAACATTTAGTTAGATTCCTCCACAGTGGGACAGGCGGTGTAATGTTGTTGTAAAGCTTTAATGTGGTGAATCACTTCCTGGCCAGATCTTTTGCCCCTTTGTGAACTGCGTTGGTGGTGATCTGTTCAGATAGTAGTGTTTGTTTAAACCTAAGCCCCACCTCTGGCTCCACCATTGTACGTAGCTTGATTAATAGACAAAGTGAAAGGACTTTGTTGTCCAGCACGGATTTGTTTCTCTCGTTGACCTACGCTGTTCTGTTTTTCAAAGCCTCTCTGAACGGCTGGGACTCTGTCTGGGTCACGCAGCCAAACTTGCTGATCCAGAATTTCTCACATCATAATGGGTGGCCATCAGCTGGCTTCCACTTGCAGTGAAGCTTAAACCTTGTCCTCCCTCCATCTCCTATTACAGACAAAAATATAAGACTCACAGGCGGCGGCTGTGATGTTCACATGTTTATGTGTTGCGGAAGCAGACAAGCCAGCACAAAACAGGTCTTTCCACAAGTCTGTGCCATTCCTGCTCAGCTGAGAGCCACAAGCACATGGTTCACGTCTGTGTATGCATTTATCGTGTTTGTAATGGATTAGCAAAGCCAGAGAAATGTTTCAAAGGTCAGAAAGTTTCCAGTGTCAGAGGAGAGACTCAGGAGAGAGCATGCAGGCAAGAGAGAAATGCACTGAGGGAGAGAGCTAGGGAGAGAGCTAGGGAGAGAGCTAGGGAGAGCGAGAGAGAGAGAGAAAGAGAGAGGGACACTAGGGAGACAGGAGTGAGTCATTGGACTGCAGTAATCCATCAATCACACCCATACACACACACACACACACTCACTAGCTACACAGGCAAGGTCATCATTAACAGAGTGCAGAGCAGAGTGTAATACTGAACGATGTTTGACTGTGTGGCTCAGCTGATGACAACAAACGGCCGTTCAAGTTATGCAGGAAGGAGAGTAGAGGTGTGTGTGTGTGTGTGTGTGTGTGTGTGTGTGTGTGTGTGTGTGTGTGTGTGTGTGTGTGTGTGTGTGTGTGTGTCCTAGCATTACTGTACTTGTGGGGACCGAAATCTGTTTACACAGCCACGTGTGGGGACTCGCCTCCCTTGTGGGGACAAAATGGAGGTCCCCATGAGGGGAATCATTCATTTTAGGGTGAAGACTTGGTTAGGGTTAGGGTAATAGTAAGGTTAAGGGTAAGGGTTAGGGTTAGGCATGTGTTGGTTATGGTTAGGATAAGTCTCCAGGAAATGCATGTAAGTCAATGTAATGTCCCCTGAACTGATGTATACATGGTATGTGTGTGTGTTGTTTGTGTGTGTGTGTGTGTGTGGTGTGTGTGTGTTGTGTGGTGATTGTGTGTGTGTGTGTGTGTGTGGTTAAAAAAAACACCAACCGTCCTCTATGTAAAAGGGTTGCTTAATAATTGCATGAAGCTGCGTACTATACATACACTACACCACACACGCAACAACACACAAACACACACAAACCTCAAAACAACACACACACACACACAACCACACACACCACAACCACACACCACACACACGACCACACACACACACACAACCAAACGACAACACACACACAAACACACACACACCACACATCAACACGCGAAGGCTGCTTGGTAGTCAGCAGAGGTTATGTACACCACTGCGTAAACTGGCTATCCTGCCCGAGAGGGAAGTAGAATGAGTAAAATAAATGTAAGCGGAAAGTGATCTAGACAATGCCGGGTAGAAATGTTAATGGTGTTGTATCAGCTCTATTTTGTGTCTTCGTGCCAATCAGTAATATACAGCATAGTGTGACAGACAGCAGGGGCGGGTCCTCAGGACTAGAGCCTGACCTACCTCGAACCACACGCGCCGCCTCACTCCGCGCTTCTCCTCACGCCAGCCATCAATTCAAAACCCAGTTCAGCTAAATACTGTCGTGGCATACGTAAAGTAGGTACACACCAGAGTCTGTTTATGGTGCGTGCGTTACGGGCCGCAAAAAGTGATGAAAATGCAAAGGTGCAAGGTATCCTAAACTTTACATCATGTCTTATTGTTTGTTTTTCTATTAGAGAAGTATGGCAAAGTCGGTCCGGGCACGAGCGCCGCCCCCTAGGGAGCGTGTTCCAGGCACGTCAGCCTGGGAGAGACAAGGGTTTAGACTCCTTAGGAACCAGCGTGCGAGGCGATTATATCTCTGCGCTGCCTAGGAGCGCCGTTGGGAGGGCGCGTCCGCATCAGACTGTTGAGGGTGCAGGAAAGAAAGTTTGGGCTCGTCTGCTGCCAACTGACTACCTCCGCGACCCGACCCACGGGATAGAAGCGGGCGAGAGATGGATGGATTTAATCGGGTATTTATTTAATTTTGCGGTAATGGCCATATCACTAGCTTCACTCGTGTGAGCTGTAACCAGATATAGAAGTGCTGCTGAAACATCAACAGTCGAAGCTAAAGTACGCCCGCTTGTTCTCCTGGCTCTTGTAGATAACGTCTAGGTGTCGTGTGCAACCTTGGCATCAGGAGATTTACCTATATGTGCTGCAATGAACGTCGCACTGGTTGACCTCTGAGCTCTCAGGTTAGGTCTGCTTATTTCTCCTCCTGATGCCTACATGGCTCAGTTCACGCGCTCGTTGTAATAGGATACAGCTGATGAAAAGATGCCACGCTCTGTATGGTCTTTAGTTGTATTTTTCGAGATTGCACATATCGCATTATTAGATAGACAGCGTATCGAGTAATCAATAAATGCTTTATGGGCAAAGCATGTGCCTGTAGTTAGATGCATAATTCATCATAAACTGTCATGATGTGTAATAGCGAGGATGACTTCAAAAGAGATTATAATAATTCGCAGTGAGATAGCGTCAGTTACTAGCTTAACATTGCTAGAGATATGGTGTAGGAAATCTTAATCAAG